CATAATCAAGTCACAATCGATCGCAATTAGCACAAAATTGGTCACAGACAGTCACACTGAACATTAATTTGGTTATAGTTAGTCACATTGAATACACACTTGGTCACAATTAGTCGCTGATTATATAAAGTGACTTAAAATTTTCTCGATAATTTTTTTAGGAGGTGGAGGCAGGGGTGATGGTAGGTGAATCCATGGGTTGGGGTGTGATTTTCAATTTTTTTAAAATTTTGAAATAGTCGGAGTGGTCGCCGAAGTGATCGGCGGAGCAATGGCTGGAACGCCGGAGCAGTGGCCGGACCGATACCGGAGATGGAGGGAGGTGGTGTAGTGAAGAGATGGGGTGAGTGAGGTGTCATGGGGTGTAAATAATTAATATATATTATATTATATTATAATTTAATATTTAATTAATCTATTTACCACCTGATTTTTGAAATAATTAAATAAATTTGTTAATTTTGAAAAATAATTATTATATGTAGGTTTTGTGTATTGTTACCATTTTGAATTCTATATATCAAGCCCATTTATTTGGATTCTATAGGAACAATTATCAAGTTAAAAAACCCCACCTACGGCTACAAGTCATACTTTGCCACGTATAGACCTTCTAGTCGAATTATTATTTGACTTTTGATTAAAATTTATAAGTTATTTTATTCAAATGGTGACTAAAATTACACAGAAGATAATAACTATTGAGAAATGGCTATGGACCTGCGTAACAGGAGATTATAGCCGCACCTCAATGACCATAACCTGCAAAGCTTCAGAAAGGGGGAACGAAATACGAGGTTTTTATTGCAGAATGCACAGAACAGAGAGCAGTGACAACAAACGAAATACAAACCCACATAGATTCTGAAATATTAGCAAAATTAATTTATATTTTCACTGAAATTAGCCGTCTAGGTGGTTTGATTTTGAACAAGTCTTGGTGTAGAATGATTAGAGTGTTGTAATTTTTACGATGCTTTCACATTAGTATGGAGCTCACTAATTAACTCTAATCATTATACCAATGGATTTTTCCTTTAATTTTACCTTTGATCTAACTTATCATGTAGCGTCATCTAAATTGATAACCCAACCGACATTACTCAAACTATTTTCTTACACATCATTTTGATGACAATATTTATATATAAACACAAACTGTATGTATAAAAAAAGGATGATCCGCATCTTTGACGACCCTCATCTGCTTTGCCCTGAGCCTTGGTGAAGGAGATAAATCGCAGGTTATGCCTCTAAGGGTATAAGGTGGAAGACTGCTTGTACACTTGCACTTATCCAATGACCAAATTCATATTTCAGGATTCGAACCCTTGACGCTACAGCCTCAAGCAAAATTGGAGTTTTTTTTTATCTTCCCCTTTTACCACTTAGAGACGTATATATCTTATGCACTGTTGTGCTTCTTTTGAATTACATATACAAAGTCCTCTCTCCTTCGCATTGAAGTTTGAGCTCAAATTGATCGAGTGGTGAGGGTTTGTTATGATCTTTTCGAGAGAGCAAATAATAAGCAGAAAGCATAGTTTTATAGTATGAGTAATTGGCTGGGATTTTGTCTGACTCCACACCTGAGAGTTGATGGTGATGATGATCATGAAGCATTTGGAAATGAAAATCCCTCGGAAAATGAAAATCCTCAAGAGGGTTGTTTTCACAATCCTATTTCTATAATGCCTTTGCGCTCTGATGGCTCTCCTTGTGCATCGGATCCTTTTAGGCGCTCATATGGCACTGATGGTTTGCATTTATCACATTTTCTCCAACATTTCTCTTCTGTATACATGTTATCTTATCTTTTATGTTTTGTTTTATCAACTGAAATGAATCTTGAAGATGTTTAAACTGTGTTTTTGTTCAGAGTGGAGTACGGGGGCTGGAAACCCTAATGGGGAGGGTCCAAAATTTGAAGATTTTCTGGGTTGTTGTTACTCAAATTCACCTCCAACTGAGACTAAAGTTTACTGTCAATCTGAACCTGGGGAAATAAATGTTAATATGACACCAAACTTTGATTTGGATACATGTGATGGAGATGCTGAAAGAGGAGAAAATTTCACGAACCCATCTTTTTTGCAACCATATCACTATAGTATAATCCCAGCTGGTGGGCAGATTGAAACCTGTGGTGCAAACCCTAGCCATGGCGTGTACCATGTACCATTTGATAGTGCTGCAACTTCAATTTCTGGATTCAAGTCCTGGTTGCGCCAAACTCAGTCTCCGGCTGAGAAACCTCCCGCGGAGGAGAACAGCAGTAATTTTCAAGCTCCTTTTGTAACTATGAACCCCAGTTCTCAACCGGGCTTGGCGGTGGCCTCGCCGCCTTTGCACTTGGCCGCTGATTGTAAAAAGCGGACAGTGTCGAAGTCTGATGCTGCTAGGGAACCTGTACCACGTAAATCAATCGATACTTTTGGACAAAGAACCTCTCAATATCGCGGTGTTACAAGGTAAATTTGTTTCTAAAAAACAAAAAAATTATTTCAAAACCTATGCACTTCAACTCTCTCCCTCCCTCCCTCTCTCTTTTTCCCCCTTGATTTTCTGATGATGATGATACTGTGCTAGGCATCGATGGACTGGAAGGTACGAGGCTCATTTCTGGGATAACAGCTGCAGAAAGGAAGGACAATCAAGAAAAGGAAGACAAGGTGAAAAATACAAATAATTTTCATTCATTAATTCTTGTTCTCTATATGCACGTACTTTTCTCCCCTTCAAGAATATACTAACCAGATTTTTTCTTGCAAATTCTGGTTTATTCTCCGTTCCCTGAATATTTTCAACCAGTGTATCTTGGTATGTAATTCTTCCTTGTGCATATTTTTTCTTTCGTCTCAAAATTTTTGCGATAAAAAATTATTCAGATTTTATTATTTTTCGTTGGATGGACTGCTTTCGTGTAGAGTATTAATTTCTGTATATTTTTTCCTTCAGGGGGTTATGATAAAGAAGAAAAGGCAGCTAGAGCTTATGATTTAGCTGCTTTAAAATATTGGGGTCCAACTACTCACATTAATTTTCCTGTAAGATGATTTTTGATGTTTTCATGTTCTCACAGCGGAGCCCTTTCAATTACCAAAAGCGAAGAGATCAAAGGTTTGTGTTGAGATTTAACTTTGACTTCAACTTCAATCCTGTATAATCTCAGTTAAGCGCATATGAGAAAGAGTTTGAAGAGATGAAAAACATGACCAGGCAAGAATTTGTAGCCCACTTAAGAAGGTACATACTGATATGTACATATATTTTTTTCTATTTTTGGAAGAAAAAGTTTGGTACTTAATTAGTATAATTAGTAAAAAGCTGCTTTTATATCGTCAGGAAGAGCAGTGGATTTTCAAGAGGGGCATCAATGTACAGAGGAGTCACAAGGTTGTGGTAGGAAGAAAAAAATGTGTTCACTATTTACTGCATTTTTGCAGCTCTTGCACTTATCTTTTTCAATAGCAGACAATAGCAATAATTATATGAACGTACATCGGAACTCCCATCGTTGTATAAATTATTCATGTTTTTCTGTGTGACAATTTGGTGGGTTTCTTTTCAAGCAGGCACCATCAGCAAGGACGGTGGCAAGCTCGAATTGGAAGGGTTGCAGGCAACAAAGACTTGTACCTTGGTACCTTTAGTAAGTTTGCTAATTTACTCGAACATAACTTTGAGATTATCTTCAGTGATGCCCACACGAATTTAGTTCCATATCACATTTCAATCATGGCATCATATCAAGGACTTTAAACACGAATAAACCACCTTGTGTATGTGATGTCAAACTTTAAGTTGCGATTTGTGAGTTACTAGTGCAACTATGTAAAACCCTATGGAAACTTACTCGGAGTCTCGTGATCTTCATATTCATTAAATCTTTCATATGAACCTAGGTACACAAGAAGAAGCTGCAGAAGCCTATGATATTGCTGCAATTAAGTTCAGAGGGACGAGTGCGGTGACCAATTTTGACATAAGTAGGTACGACGTGAAGAGGATTTGCTCAAGCTCAGCCCTTGTCGCAGGAGACCTCATTAAGCGTTTCCCTAAGGACTCAGGTCCATCTTCCCTCGAGAATTTCAATTCTTGTGCATCGTTGGCTTCCCCTCCCCATCCTCTTCTCCCAACAACTAACGGAGAACCTTCTGATGAATTGACAGACGTGATATGGGATGCTGACACTGATGAGCAGAACCAGGTTGCAAATGCGAATAATAATGAACTTGGCAGGATCAACCAGCTGGAACTCCTCTAATCCACAGAGTCTCGAGGGACATATATCTGAAATGGATGTGGAGTTTGGAGGTGCAAATTATTCTCAAGCATATTTCTAGGTTCAAGGGGAGAAGAACGGAGAGGGGACTAATAAGAGCGATCTGGATGGGAACAGCAGGTTCCCCCACTATGTTTGCACTGTGGAACACCTGAAGAATATTGGTGCAGAATTTCAGAATTTGAAACCTTGAAGATGGTAGTATAATGTTCACTTAGAAGTTTTACTTGTTTTGCTATTAAAGTTGTCAAAATATGGAGGCATAATCCAATTTTAACTGTGTTTTGGTGATGATCTGAAAGAAAGCTGCTATAATAGAAAAAGAAAACCAAGAAGAATTTTGTTTAGTGAAGAGTCTGTCTTCATTTTGATTATTTTCATTTTATTACGAAGCAATTTTCAAATGAATTGGAGGACAAGTAATTGACTTCTTTCCCCGTTAGATTCTGCGTACGTATTTTCCTTTTTCTGTGTATAAAGTATGCCAAAAATGTTAAAAGCTACTCTTTCAGACTTTCACCGTAGGAAGGTGTCAAACTAGTCTGATTCTGACTGACATCATACCTGCCTAAATTTGAGTGCCTTCTACATACCAAGCATGTTTGACTAATCTTAAAATCCAATTAAAATTGAAAATATAGTCGTTATTGAATCCCTTGTCTAATAAAAGTCAACAATAACGGCTAGTTTTTCAATTTTAATTCGATTTTAATCTCTACCGAATACACTCATAAAGTTGTGCACTATAAATGGAATTAATATATATGTACAGACGGTTGGTTCACAGAAGGCTTATCGACCCTTACATGAGGTGGGTCTCGATGCGGGACCCGCTTGATTAAAAATTGGATCAAATTCCCCACTTCTGTAACCCAAGCAACACTCCTATAAATGTGCGATCATAGACTAGCTAGAGAAGAAAGACTTGAAGGGGTGGCTCTCTTGGGTAGGAGAAGAAGCAATATTTCAATTATGTTTGGTGTACAATGTTCTTGATAATATATCACGTAGTATGTTGTTATCAGATAATTTGTTGTAAAAAAAACATGGTACCAAGGGCATTGTCCAATTTTTATTTAGGAGATAGATTCATTTTTGACGTGTTAGATTTCCACGAAGTGCACACTGGCTAGTAGCCCATAAATAAAAGAAAAATTAAAATTAAAATTGTTATAAATAATATATATGAATACATTTTTTTATAAAATTATACATATAATGTGAAAATAATGAATAAACTGAAATGTAATATTTTGATTACAATAACTTTTATTTGTACACAATATTTTTTGTAAACATTTCACAACTTTTTCTTCTCTTTATTTTTTTGCTTTTATCAATACTTTTGTTTTCATTGAAATTCCGCAAGAAAGTATGACATAAATGTCCATGAGAGAATATATATTTAGGAATGTATATTTCAATAGTAGACACTATTTGTCCTTGAACCCTGTTAGTGATCATTGCGAAGTATAAATGCATTGAAAATTATTTTCTCTTGAATTTTTATTTTTATTTCCTATATTTTAAAATCAATTTATTATTTATTTTTATTTTACTCTTGTAGTGAAAAAATACTGTAAGATTCACCAACTTTATAATGTATATATTTCTCAATAATATATTAACCTAAAATGAATAATTCTACATTTACATTACAAGGAGTTATAGAAAGTTTTACAGATAGATGATGTTTCAAGAAGAGATTGGAGATTATATTTATATATTTATAAATTTGGTTGAAGAAATTTTGACTAAATCAAATTTCACCACATTATGCGTATGTAAAATAATTTTCAAAATGACAAATCAAATGCATTTTAACCAATCTTAAAATGGATCTTCAAAGCAATAAATTGAAAATGAATTCAAAACTCAAAACTGTAATTGAAATACAAACCAAACGGACCTTTAGATTTCAAATGCTTGCAACCCAAATGGTCTTTACACACACACACACACACACACATATATATATATGAGATTAAAATAATGATATTTCTCAGTAATGCACTGCGTAGTTAGTTCATATAATATAGACTTCAATCGTTACATCCTTTTTATTCTATTCATTTTAAACAAAAATCAGGAAGAAAAATATTTTAAAAATATTTTTTATTGATTCATTAATCAACCTCAAATTTATTGAAAAAGAGACTCGGTTAAAAAATAAAAGTTTATTGATTTAATTTATTTAACATTAGAACAATTAAAAAAACTTGAAAAAAAATTAAATCGAACAATTAAAGTAGTTATTAGAAAAAAAAAACTATATAAGTAATATCTTTTTAATAAATTCTATATATAAATATTAATTCACTTAATAGAATATGCATTTCAAGTTTTAAACTACGCAACATACTCGGCTAAAAGAGACAAACATCAGGTATTAAGTTTAAAAAATACAAAATTCAGGTATTTAGTTAACTAATTGAAAATACTTATTAATTAGGTCACAATTATACAATTAATGGTCTCATATACATAATTATAGGTCACAATTTATTTATTTGTTACATATTATCAAATTAATTAGTCAATGATGATTTCGAGATCACGTTTAATTTCATTGGTCACATATTTTCAAATTTGTTGGTCACAAATTATTTTTCAGTCACATATTTTCAAAATTTTATGTCACAGTTAAATATTTAGTCACAGATAATAATTGGTCACATATCACTCACACTAACACTTTTGACTACCCTTACCCTACTGTTGCCACCACCACCACGGCCTCATGACAACCAATACAAATACCACCATAGAGGTGTCAATCCGGGTGGGCCTGACCGGGTCGGCCCGCCGATATATGAGCCCAGTAACGGCTCGAATGAAAAAAAGACTGCCCGCTACGGGTTCCGGGCCGGTTCCGGGTAGGACCACAAATTTTGAATTACAACTCAGGCCTGCCCGTAGACCCATTCGTGTGGAGCCCATACGGGGTCGCTGTTCGCGGGTCACGGGTTGTTCCAAGAATTTTTTATATTGATAGCAAATTTTTTTTTTTAAATGTAAACTAAGAATTGAATAAAATGATAAATTCATATTTATAC